TGCTATCAAATTCTAAGTCAAAAAGCATCTCTCCTCTGCTCAAAACCCTCCAGTGGCTCTGTGTCTCATTTGAGTAAAAGCCAGAGTCCTTGTACCAATCTAAAGGCTTTACAAGGTCTGCACTTATTCCTACTCCATTCCCCTTTGCTCATTCCACTCTAGCCATCCTGGCCTTACTGATGTGGCAGCCTGTGGGCATGCTGTGACCTCAGGGCCATTGCCCTTGCTGTTCTTTCTGCGTGGGATGTAGTTCCCCCAGATAGCACATGGCTCATTCCTCCACCTCCTTCAGGTTCTTGCTCCGATGTCACCCCAGTGAGAGCTTCTCTAACCCTATTTATTATTTGTTTATTTTTAAATATTTTATTTATTTATTTGACAGAGTGAGGGCACAAGCAGGAGGAGCTGCAGGCAGAGGGAGTGGGAGAAGCAGGCTTCCTGCTGAGCAAGGAGCTCAATGTAGGGCTCCATCCCATATCCATCCTGATATCACCACCTGAGCGGTAGGCAGATGCTTCACCGACTGAACCACCCAGACGCCCCATTCTCCAACTGTATTTAAAATTATAAACCCTTCCCTGCTTAATTTTTCTTTAAAGCACACTTATGTATGCTTTATACATATTCTATTTATTTTCTTTATTGTCTGCCTACTGCATTAGAATGTAAATTTCATAGTGGCAGGGATTTATTTGTTGTTTTTTTTTTTAAGATTTTATATTGAAGTAATCTCTACACCCAGCATGGGACTTGAACCTACAACCCTGAGATCAAGAGCTGCACACTCCACCAGCTGAGTCAGCCACGTGCCCCAATTTGTTTTTTATTATCATAAATACTTGTTAAATTTATGAAGACAGATTTTACCTTTAAACAGTTAATATTTTTTACTACAAAAGACCACATAAACTATTTTATAAAATTTATCCTTTACATTTGTAATAAAGGATCACATGGTTCATACATAAAGAGCTCCTATAAATTAATAAGTATAAAACAATCCCATAGAAAATTGGATAAAGGGCAATGAACATACTTTCCACAAAAGCCTACAGAAATGCCAACAGAGATGGAAAATGTTCAATGTCATGGAAATACAAATTGGTTGGAACAGTAAAATGCTTTTCATTCATCAGATTGGTAGAGTACAAAGAGAACATGTAGTATGATTAAGGCTGTGGAACCTAAGATTTGCTCATACAAGACTGGTGAGACTACATGCTGGCACAAATGTGGAAGGGTGTGATAGCAGTCCATGTTCTTCAGTCATCCATGTACTTATTACCCAGTTACAGAAACACTTGCAGACATGTACAGAGTTGTGAATATATGGCTATTTTTTGTAGCATTGCTGTTAATGAGAAACAATGGGAAATAATTTAAATGTCCATCAAGTCTTTAAAAATAAATCACAGAAAATCATAGGAAAGATTATAGAGCTGCATGGGAGAAAGAACCTGATCCATCTGACTGCATCCATTACAAATTTCGCCAATCTTTATATTATACTTTAGTCTTAAAGAAATGATCATCTGCAAAACCTCAATGGCATAGGTAGTAAACTCACACTGTGAAATGTTATGCAGCTTTAAAAAAATGACCTAAATCTCTATATATTTATACAGACAGGAAAGTCTGAGGTGTCAGTTAAATGAAAAAAGCAAGTTGCAGTATGACATGCACGTTATAATCTTATTTTATATCCTCACAATGTCAAATGCTGTTTGGAAAGCATACATTAACATGTATGAGTGGACACAGAAACTGCTGGGCAGTTACCAACCATTTGACAGGTGTCCTTTGGGTTGGGGAGTAAAAGTAGGGGAAGGAAATCTCCTTCTGTATTTGAATTTTTGCCAGGAAGGGTATTCTTGATTAAATCTATAGTTAAAAAAAGAAGTAAAACTGCTCTAAGCAAGAGAGTTCTAGAAATTGTTACAAAGCAACTGAATCAGAGATTGCTGAGAAATGATTCTTAAGTGCTCCCTAAATATTTAACTTTGAAGGTTTTGGGTATTTGTGAGTGGTCCCAAAGACTAATACTATTTAATAATAAATAGTATTTAATAATCTTTGATTTATTTGAGGAACATAAATTCAACATAAAAAGAGGAGGAAGTCATGAGGCCTGTGGATGAGATTCTCTCACCATTTATTGTTGAATAAATATATGTATAAATAAATTGTAGCGGCTTCCCTGGAGTGATCACTGTTTTTATGTAAAAAATGGGTCTATGATACTGAAGGCATCTGCCAGTGCTGGTGGTCACCATGAGGAGGTAGATCTAAGGAAGTGATAGCTGTCAACAAAAACTGCAATTCTTGTGTTGGAGTCAAGTGTCAAATTCAATGTTGATTCAGGTCTATGGATAGAATGTGTTCCACATAAAAATAAATGTATATATTCATGAAACTTTCAGTGAATGTAGCAGCCAGAGCAAAATGGGTTTTAAAAAAATCTCAAATATAATTAATATACAGTGTTAACATTAATTTTAGGTATACAAGCAAATGGCTTTTTAATAGAAATTGCAGTCCATAGTAGAATTTGTCAACTTTGGGATTTTGAAAAGGTCTTAAAAGATTTCTCTTTTAGGGATGCCTGGGTGGCTCAGCGGTTGAGCGTCTGCCTTCAGCTCAGGGCCTGATCCCAGGATCTGGGATCAAGTCACACATCTGGCTCCCTGCATGGAGCCTGCTTCTCCCTCTGCCTGTCTCTGCCTCTCTCTCTCTCTCTCTCTCTCTCTCTCTCTCTCTGTCTCTCATGAATTAATAAATGTTAAAAAGAAGAAAAGATTTCTCTTTTAAATATTAAAGATCAGCTATGGGTACCTGGGTTTTTCCATTAACGAACTTCCCCTTTCAGATCCTAGGGAAATCTTCAAAGGTCTCTAACTTGCCTCCATTTGATATATTTTTGAGTTCTTTTACTTTTTTTTTTTTTTTTAAGATTTTATTTATTTGAGAGAGAGCTAGAGTGCATGGCGGGGAGGGGCAGAAGGAGAAGCAGACCCCCCACTGAGCAGGGAGCCCCATGTGGGGCTCAATCCCAGGACCCCAGGATAATGACCTGAGCTAAAGGCAGATGCTTAACCCACTGAGCCACCCAGGTGCCCATTTTTGAGTTCTTTTATTTTTATTTATTTATTTATTTATTTATTTATTTATTTATTTATTTATTTATTTTAAAGATTTTATTTATTTATTCATGAGAGACACACACCACTGAGCCACCCAAGCTGCCCTTGAGTTCTTTTAAAAAATGTTTTTAAATGTGAAAATCATATACATTGATTCCAGAAAAGTTGGAAAATACCGAAAGTCATAAAGGAAAAAAATCACCCAGAATCATACCATATGAAAAGAACGGAAACATTAGCCCATTTCCTTTGGTTTCCATGAATTTTGTCTTGTTTTATGCAGTTAGAACAATAATATAAAGGAAATTTTGTTTCCTTTTTCATTTGTGACATTGCTATTATATGTGAAAACTGTCGATATATGCATTTTGCTGACTTTGAGTGATCCTGCCATTAATGAAGTACTCCCCTTTTTTTGATGGATGGAAAAGTTCCAGTTTATGCTTTTAAAAGTAGTGCCAGATTTTGGGCAGCCCAGGTGGCTCAGCGGTTTAGCGCTGCCTTCAGCCCAGGGCATGATTCTGGAGACCCAGGATTGAGTCCCACGTCAGGCTCCCTGCATGGAGCCTGCTTCCCCCTCTGCCTTTCTCTCTCTCTGTGTGTCTCTCATGAATAAAAAAAAAAAAAAAATACTAAAAAACAAAAACAAAAAAACACTTCATAAAAGTAGTGACAGATATTTTTCTTAGAGTTTTTTTTTTAAGATTTTATTTATTCAAAAAAAAAGATTTTATTTATTCATTCATAAGAGAGACAGTGAGAGAGGCAGAGACATAGGCAGAGGGAGAAGCAGGCTCCCTGCGGGGAGCCCGACGTGGGACTCGATCCTGGGACTCCAGGATCATGACCTGAGCCAAAGGCAGATAGATTCTCAGCCACTGAGCCAACCAGGTGCCCCTAGAGTTTTTTATCTATTTCAAATTACTGCCTTGTTAGATTTTAGATTGGATTGTAAAAGCACTTGATAAATAATGCTCCAAATTGGCTTCAAAAACCGTAACCTGTATTTTAACAGTAAGTAAGTAGAAGCACAGAGAAGCAGCCTGTTGACGGCAGAAGCAGCCCAGGGCAACTAGCTCCCCACATCTGAGCCTGTCTTCTCTTCTACAGTCTCTGCCTTCTCTTTGGAGATTTAAGCAGAAGATCTGAAGTTCTTAATTACAGTACTTCCTGCAAGTCTTTCCTAGCTAGTAAACTTGGAGAATCCAAGGCAGTTCCTGTTCAGGTGCTCTGGTGTTGGCCAAGTACCAGGATGGGCAGGTCCAGTGTCTGTGGGACATTTATAGATGAAATAACAGAACCACACACCACATAAAACTGTTTTCCTTACATGAAACTATTCCTATTTGTGGTTACTGTACTACCTTGAAAGATCAGCAGGTAATATTGTGATATGTGATGGACTGGTTGGGCTTGACTCACAACTTTTCCAGTCTTCTCCCTGCCCACTCATCCTCCTCATCCCTTTGTGCTTCAGGTGTTTGGAGCTGGTCAGTTTGCCACTCTGCGCCTTCATATGGCAGTGCCCCCTCCTGGGGATGCACTCCCATTCTCCACATCTGCCCTGCCCCAGTCATCCTTGAGACCAACTCCCAGGAGTCTTCCCACACCGTCTCCAGATGGCCCTCGGCCCCCTCGTATGTGCCCATCCTGGGCCCACCCTGAGCCTTCTGTACTCGGTGCCCGTGTTTGCTCAGCAGTGGCTCTTCATAACCAGACCTAGAGCCACTCTGGAACTTGGTCTGTGTCTTCTTACTTCCTGCACTCTCTGTACCACATCTGCCACTTGGGTGGTTTTCCAGGTCAGTAGCACAGGTGATGGTTTCAAGTTTAATATTCTCTGTGGTGGTTTTGTTTCAGGTCTTTCTCTCTGAGTGGAAGGAGCGCAAAGTTGCGCTCTCACGGCTCACCAGCCTGGAGATGAAAGATGATTTCCTCCATGGGCTGCGGATGCTGAAGAGTCTACAGAGTAAACACGTTGTCACCCTGCTTGGCTACTGTGAGGATGACAGCACCATCCTCACTGAATATCACCCCTTAGGCTCCTTGAGCAATCTGGAAGAAACGCTGAACCTTTCCAAGTACCAGAACGTGAACACGTGGCAGCACAGGCTGCAGCTGGCTGTAGATTATGTCAGCATCATCGACTACTTGCACCACAGCCCCCTGGGCACACTGGTCATGTGCGACTCCAGCGACCTGTCCAAGACGCTGTCCCAGTATCTGCTGACGAGTAACTTCAGCCTTGTGGTGAACGACCTGGACGCCTTGCCCCTGGTGAACCGCAGCTCCGGGGCGCTTGTCAAGTGTGGCCACAGGGAACTGCATGGGGACTTCGTGGCTCCAGAGCAGCTGTGGCCATACGGAGAAGACACACCTTTTGACGACAATCTCATGCCCCCCTATGATGAGAAGATTGACATCTGGAAGATTCCAGACGTCTCTAGTTTCCTTCTGGGGCACGTTGAAGGGAGTGATATGGTCCGATTTCATTTGTTTGATATTCATAAAGCATGTAAGAGCCAGACTCCTGCAGAAAGACCCACTGCTCAGGATATTTTAGACACTTACAAGAAGGTTTTGAATTTACTCAGAGATTCTGTGATGTCTCAGACAAGAGAAATGCTCTGAAAGCCAGTCCTAGCAGTGAAGGATGGCTTTTAAGGAACAGATAGAATAGTTCCAGCAATTCTTGCCCTGACAGTGAGGGTTTTGCTGTTCAGCCCTGTGGTTCTTCCTCTCTACATCTACACGCACATGTGAGCGTTGTTTATCACCAGGGGACTTGGGCAGCAATTGCTGAGGCAAACTGGGTTTGGTTTGAGTCTGGCCTCACTCTCAATGGGGATCACGCCCAGCCAAAGATGGGCAAAGCAGTGAATCTAGCCAGATCCGAAGGAAGTAACAAAACTAGCCACAAAGAGGCTTCACCTACCCTAATTACTGAATTTGTAAGCTTTATAAGAACTGGGTATGGAAAAGATTTCTAAATGACAGGATATGAAAGAAACATGCAGTAGTTTGCCAAAGAATTTTTCTTCCTCATTTTTTTAGATGGTAATCGACATTACCAGGGTCATAGGAGTATTTGTGATCTGTTTCACATGGTATTGATGAAGCCATCTTTAGCATTTTAAATGATCGTTTAAATGTTTATTTTAATGAATGTGAAGCTCTTGTGCCATCCTCTTTCCAGAAATCTGAAGAACTACGATAGTGTGCCCTCTGAAGTTTTAAATGGATGAGGAATATTTAGAAAAGCAAGTATGAGGGAAATTACATCGATGTTAACTGCCTTGGACGATGCTTATGAAATTCCTGCTGACCTTTCAGCTAGGTTTTCTGTGTCCAAAATCAACAATTTCTTTTAAAAGATTTTATTTATTTATTCATAGAGACACAGAGAGAGAATGAGAGGCAGAGTCACAGGCAGAGGGAGAAGCAGGCTCCACACAGAGAGCCCGACGTGGGACTCGATCCAGGGTCTCCAGGATCATGCTCCAGGCTGCAGGTGGTGCTAAACTGCTGCGCCACTGGGGCTGCCCCAAAATCAACAATTTTTTAAAAAGATTTTATTTATTTATTCATGAGAAGCACAGAGAGAGGGAGAGAGGCAGAGACACAGGCAGAGGAAGAAGCAGGTTCCATGCAGGGAGCCTGATGTGGGACTCGATCCCGGGTCTCCAGAGTCACGCCCTGGGCTGAAGGCGGTGCTAAACTGATGGGCCACCAGGGCTGCCCCAAAATCAACTACTATGAAAAATTTACATCAACAATATCACCCATTACTGAAAAGTGGCAAACCCTTCCACTTGAGTTGCATGATGGGATCCTTTAGAAAGTTCTTTCTTGGTGGCTATGATCCTCATGTGCAGAGGATGGTGGATTTGGTGTGTATTAATCACCACTAATAAAGTGGTTAAAGCTGACATTGAGGGTTAAACATGCCCTGTAGCAGCTGCTGCCTCCCTTGAACTTGAGCAAGTGTCAGAATCACAAGGCGCTGGGTGCGCCCGCCCCCCCCCCCCCCCCCAGACTCCAACTGGGTCTGAGGTAGAGTCTGAGACTTTGCATTTAACTGGTGCTGCTGGTCTTGGGACTCTATTTTGAGAGCCACTGTCCTAACCAGTTAGGGAGGGTACCACAAACAGTAGAATAGGGCAGTTTAATTAGTATTGTTAACATTCTAGTCTACCTCTTGGGCTGATGGAGTCATATGGTGGATCTGAGAATATGCTTGCCTGGAGTATTTTAACTGTCCCTTTTTGTTACAAAAACTCTGCCACAGCCAGTCAGGATGGCTGTAATCAAGATGATGGGTGATAACAAGTGTTGTTGAGAATGTGAAGAATTGGAACACTCTACATTGCTGGTAGAAATGTCATGGTGCAGCTACTTTGAAAAACAATCCAGTAGTCCCTCAGAATTTAAAAAGAGTTGCCATGACCCAGCAATTCCATTCCAGGTATTTACCCAAGACAATTGAAACATGTCTACAAAAAATCTTGTACACAAACATTTGTAGCAATATTCATAATAGACAAAAGATGGAAATAACCCAGATGTTCATCAGCTGGTGAATGGATAAAGAAAATATGGTATCCATACAATAAGATTCAGCTGTAAAAAGGAATGAAGTACTGACATACTCCAACATGGATGAACCTTGGAAACATTCTAACTGAAAGAAGACAGTCACAAAAGACCACATTTTGTATGCTTCCATTTATATGAAATGTCCAGAACAGACAAATACATACAAATAGAAAGTAGATTATTGGTTGCCAGGGGCTGGCAGGGGGGCCAGGCGTGATGAATGGGGGGTACTTACTATTGAGTACAGTTTCTTTTTGGGGTGATGAAAATATTTGGAAATAATTTAGTCTTGGTTGTAAAACTCTGTATTAAGTAACTAAATTGTATAAAAGGACAAATTTTATGGTATGTGAATTACACCTCAATAAAGCTGAGGGAAAAAACCCACCTCTGTAACAAGGCTGTGTATCCCTATGATTCTTCACTTAATGTAGGTGGTTATTGTGTGGAGTTTTTGGTTGTATTACCCTATTCATGATATAATCCTTTATTTAAAAAAGATTACTTATTTGAGAGAGAGCAGGAATGGGAGGGGCAGAGAGGGAGAGAGAGAATCTCCAGCAGACTCCGTGCTGAGCATGGAGCCTCACAGCCCTGAGACCATGACCTGAGTGGAAACCAAGAGTCGACCACCCAACCCGCTGCACCATCCAGGTGCCCCTCATGATATAATTCTCATTTGAGGATTTTTCTTAGCTTTTGGACTTTGCATTGGTGCAAAACTACCAGTTTAAACAAATATGTCTTGGAATGTTGACAGTAGAACTAAAATAAGCAGCATGGTGTGGGGGAAGGGACGCTATGCTAGGGCCAGAAGGCCCAAGTTCTAATCCTAGCTCTTCCTCTGAATCACTGTGTGGCCTCGGACTAACCCGTTTCTGAGATGAAAGAGCCGGTAGGAGCCATTTCCTGCACTGGCCTCTCGTAGGCTCTCTGGGATGTTTTATGACGCCAGTGCCAACCAGGACCTTGCGTGTCAAGGTTCAGTCTTTAGTTTGTACGCAGACATAATTCTGTACCCAAAGAACTGTGAAATCCTGGGAGCAGGTTACATCCTAGCTAAAGCCTAGATGGGGGGGGGGGGTTCACTGCCCAACTAGCTTGCTGCCTAGCACTCCGCAGAAACGTAATCTGGAGAGGAGGCCGATGAGGCGAGCCATTCTCAAGCGCAGCCAAGGAGTCACTGCTTTCTCCCTGCTTTCGTTAGTCCAAGTGCTAAAAAAAAAAAAAATCATCACCCTATGGTTGAGAATCGGCTTTTTCATTATCTCATGTGATGCTACGAACACTCCAAGCCTCTGGGGGCGTCCAGTGATGATTAATGATTCCTCAGAGACAGGACACGGGCTGTAGGCACAAGGAAACCCGCGTGGGTGGGAGTGAGATGGAAAGCTGCCTCCTGCAGCTTCTGTAGAACTTCCTCTTTGTATTCACTGCCCCCACCCCCACCCCCCGGCTTCCTTTATTTTAAAAATAAACAATTTCAGGAATCACTATTCTCGCCCGGGTTTTGATAATTTAAGAGTCATTTAAAATGTGAAACCATGCTTTCCTCCCGCTTTGTAGTCTTTTGTGAGGATAAACCAAACGAAGGAAATAACTTAGATTCTTTGGAGCTTTATGTAGTTTGGAATCAACTCTGAAAGGAATTCAGCAAGAGTACTGCATCCAAGCGTAGTGTTTTCATTCATTTATTCATTTTAAAGATTTTAGCCATTCATTTGACAGAGAGAGCACAAGCGGGGGGCGGGGGGAGTGGTGGCAGGCGGAGTGGGAGGGAAAAGCAAACTTCCTGCTCCATGGGACTCAGTCCCAGGACCCCAGGATCACAACCCCAGCGGAAGACAGACGCCTAGCGGACAGAGCCACCCAGGTGCCCCAGTGTTTTCATTTATACCTGAAGCACTAGTCAGAGTTTGGCTACCTGGCACTAACTCCCCTGGAAGGAAAATTTGATTTCATTCACGCCCAATTCCATGTGATTGATTACAGAGTATTTCACACAAATGAGGCACAGTACTTGTTTTTACCCCTGAAAAGGACCCAGTGCCTATGAAAGCACAGCGTCTTCCAGAGTTTGTGTGTGTGTGTGGTTCTCGTCTATCATACATGGGCAGAAGGACCAGTCTGTGACTGAGGAGGACCCCCTAGAGTGCTCTTGGGCTCCAGGACGCCCTCTGACCCTCAAGGTTCTTAAAGGCAGCTGGGCCACGGCCGGGACCTTGAGTCTGATGGCCAGAAGTCCTCGCAGCCACGGGGTGGTGAAAGGCAGCGGCATCCAGAAGGTTGCAGATGGGTGGATAGCTGAAGACATCAGGAACTCTGGAACTCAACTCTGAGGCTCACTGGTACCCCCTTCACCTTGGGCTTATTTTTTTCCCTAAAGGGTAAAAAACAGTTGTACTGTAATATGTAAACTATAGCCGATGCTGCACGATGCTTTTTTTTTTTCTTTAGCCTGGCAATTGTTATTAACCTTTTTTTTTAAAAAAGATTATTTATTTATTTATTTATTTATTTATTTATTTATTTATTTATTCATTCATTCATTCATGAGACACAGAGAGAGAGAGAGAGAGAGAGAGAGAGAGAAGCAGGCTCCATGCAGGGAACCTGATGTGGGACTCCATCCTGGGTCTCCAGGATCATGCCCAGGGCTGAAGGAGGCGCTAAATCGCTGAGCTATCCAGGCTGCCCATAATTAATAAAATATTGAAGAAAAAAAAAAGCAGACCACTGCGGGTGCCTGGCTGGCTCAGTTGTTAGAGCATGAAACTCTTGATCTTGGGGTTGTGAGTTTGACTCTCACATTGGGTGTAGAGATTACTTAAAAATAAAATCTTAAAATGTATACCATTGGTTTTTAACATGTTTATCATGTGTTTGACCATAGATGGATCAGACATTTATCTCTGCTTCTTTCTGAAACCAAGTTAGAATGACAGTAAAGAATAAGAGGTGTAAACCATGTAAGACCAAACATGAAGCATGACCATTTGTGCCTCAGAATTCTGGAAAGGCTCTAAAATTGGAGATGCTAAGTTCCTTGGAAGGTGAGAGTATGGAGTGGGCTGAAAGCCACAAGAATTGATTAAAAGTTCCTATGTTGCCTTCACAAATCACTTAGAGTCGGGATACCACCTCCCTACGCTGCACCGGGAAAAAAGACGATTTCTAGGAAGAGTGAACTAAAGAGCTAAATGGGAACCCCAGCTATAACACATGTTGGGGGTAAGATTCAATAATGAAGATTGTGGGATATCCTGAAACTCTACAGAAAAGACACATTTTTCACTCTACAAACTCCTCATCTGCCACGCTCGTAGCGAGGCTTATTACTGTGATACTAGGCAGGAGACTGGAAGATTTCTCTCTAGAGAAACTATATCCCAAATAAGAGGTGTATCTCCCACTGAAATTTCTGAATCTGCTCCCCAAAACTCACGAGTCAACAGAACACCTTCTTGCAACCACACTCACATTTTCCACTTTCACTTTCTGGCTTAGTTTGCTATTAGGTAGTATATTCTTCTAAATAATTCCCACAAACTGCAATGCAATGCTTCAGTATTCATTTTGGCATTCATTTCATTCTAACATATGCTATTTTGAAGCTTATTATAAACAAACTCTGGATGAAAGTCATAATTATTCAAATATCATACACAATTTATGCTATCCATGTATAAACTTTGCCTGTTATCTATAGGCTGTTCCAATTTCCTCAGGATTTAACAGTGTTGGGGTTTTTTGTGGTTTTTGTTTTTTGTGGTTTTTGTTTTTTGAAAAACTCTTAAAGTCAAAAATTGGTCAGAATTTAATTTCTTAAATTGATTCTAATATAGCTATTAGTCCAGTTCATTGTCATCTTCAGTGTCATATAAATCAATTTCAAAATGTAAATCATCTTTTTCTTCTGCAGTTTCTTCTGTAGTTGCAATTTAGATTGTTTTCAATTGTTTTTCCTTCCTTCCTTCCTTCCTTCCTTCCTTCCTTCCTTCCTTCCTTCCTTCCTTCCTTCGTCCTTCCTTCCTACCCCCCAACATGGGACTTCAGCTCACATACCTGAGGTGGAGTCACATGCTCTGCCAACTGAGCCCGTCAGGTGCCCCTTTTCTGTTTCTTTATTAAACAGAATAACAATGTCTCTTTTTTTTTTTTACATATTTTGCACAAACTTTAGGTTCACAGAGGGCACCTGGTCTACACATTATAAGAATATTCACTGTCTTGTAAATATTTAACCCATTTTTAAGGCTTTGAAATGGTTTGTATTTGCTGTGTTTTGCAAGTTCTTGTAAGAGAACCTCTTTACAGTGTTGGCATTCTCCGTTGTGAAGGTTTGCGTTAATTTTCTTGGTCTGGTCACTCTTACGACACTTGTCATTTTTGAAACTAAACATATCCTGGTGCCTCTGACGCCTGGAACAGAGATGCTCTCTTTGTGGGAGCTTATTGCAGAAACTCCAGTAACCTCAATGGAGGGCAGTAAAAATTCAGGGAAGACGGAGATGTCTGGGATCCAGGCCCACATTGGGCTTCCTGCTTGGCAGGAAGTCTGCTTCTCCCTCTGTGCCTCCCCCTGCTTGTGCTCTCTCTCTGTCTCTCAAATAAATAAATAAAATCTAAAAAATCACATATAAAACGGTACAGCACTGGTGTAAAAATAGGCATATAGGGGATCCCTGGGTGGCTCAACGGTTTAGCACCTGCCTTCGGCCCAGGGCATGATCCTGGAGTCCTGGTTTGAGTTCCACATCGGGCTCCCTGCATGTAGCTTGCTTCTCCCTCTGCCTGTGTCTCTGCCTCTCTCTCTCTCTCTCATGAATTAATAAATAAAATATAAAAAAAAATAGGCGTATAGACTAGTGGAACAGAATAGAAAATGCAGATATAAACCACGTCATATACGGTCGATTCATCTTTGACAAGGGTGCCAAGAACACACAGTGGGGAAAGGACAGTCTCTTCCATAAATGGTGTTGGGAAAACTGGACACCACATGCAGAAGAATGAAACTAGACCCCTGTCTTACATCACTCATGAAAATGAACTCAAAGTCAATTTAAGACTTAAATCTAAGGCTTGAAATCATAAGACTCCTAGAGTAAAACAGGAGAAAATCTCCTTGATGTTGGTCTTGGCGGTGATTTTTTTAATACGATGTCAAAAGCACAGGCAACACAAGCAAAAATAAACAAGTAGAACTACATCAAACTGAAAAGCTTCTGCACAGCAAAGGAAATAATTAACAGGATGTAAAGATAACCTACAGAACAGGCAAAAATATTTACAAACTATATATCTGATAAAGGGTCAATATCTAAAAAATATAAACAAAAAGCCCCACAAATAATCAGATTTGAAAATGGGCGAAGGACTTGAAT